GGAGGCGCGGTTGGCTGCTAGTACTAGTACTACTACTACTACTACTACTACTACTACTACTACTACTACTACTACTACTACTACTACTACTACTACTACTACTACTACTACTGCTACGACTACTGCTACTTCTACTGCTACTTCTACTGCTAATTACTTCTACTGCCACTGCTACTGCTACTGGTGCTGCGTGTGTCGGCGACTACTACTGCTACAATCGCTCGGCTTTGCTCTTTACCTGCAGCCTTGCCACTTATCCACAGCAGTGACCATGTCCAACAAAACCTCGGTGGCGCTGATAGGTTTTCGTTATGGTTTTATGAGAGCTTCCACAAGTGTAAAGGATCTACAGGGCTCATGGAACTGTTTGTGTACCCTGTCTGTATTTACCTAGAATATGTAGTTGGGTCATGAGTGTCCAACTAAGGTTTGAGAAATCGGTGGTTCAGTTCTCCGTGCGACATGGCCATCTTACCCACTGACCATCAGCATCATCATCAGCAGCAGCATCATCACTATCATCATCAGCAGCAGCATCATCACTATCGAACAGCCCCACAACCCGAAACTGCCTTAAACCCTTCAAGCAAAAGCTTGAGTTCGGTCGGCACCCCTAAACCCTAAACCCCTAACCGTGAAATCCCCCGGGCCGATAACGATGACGTGCAGCTTCAAACTTGAGGGTCCGCCCCGCAGCCGACAACGGGGTTTAGGGTTTAGGCTTTAAGGGACCGCTCTGGTATCAAAAAGGGCTTTGGTTCTAGGGATTAGCATGACAGTAGGTTCTTCTTGTCCAGCACCATTTCCCACCTGCCCGTCCGATCAGTATACCACAGGGTCGGGAGTTTAGGGTGAGTTAAAGTAGTTCCCCTTCTGAAGGGATTGTTGAACGTGGTTTGAAGGGGCTTTGTGTCAGTTTTGTACCTCTGGTTGCGGTAGTTCATGAGACTGAGGGTCCCCATGGAATTCCGAAGCAGCAAGAAGCTGCACCCTATGCGATTACCGGAAGCCTTCTATGTGGTACTGTTGGCAATGCCGTTTCGTGTTGGTTGTATGTCGTTTGACTTGTGCTTATTGGTGATCTTGAAGGCGACGAATTTTGAGCCAGTATGGCCTCGTAACTGGAGGGCGTAACCCTTAAGCTAGTATGTTGTCGGATCCACAGGCAAACCCTACGATTAGTGGCTTATGGCGTGAGGGTTTGTTGAAGGCTCAAACCGAGAAGCATTGTCAGCAAGCCTGGCCACTTCCGACACCGTGGTTGGTACAATGACATCCTCGGCAAGGTAGGTCGGCGATGTGGTGGAAACCCTAAACCCTACACCCCAGACTCAATGACGGATGACCTGAAACCCTGGTCACTTAGAGCAGAGGGACAAGGGTTTACACCTGCAGAAGCTAACCTCTAGTTACCAAAGGGTCCAAGTACCGTTATAGTAGGTACTTAGTAGGTATTTGGGCCCCCAAAGTATGGGCTATACTATTACTTGGACCCATTGGGTTACGGGCAGAACTAACTACATTGATAAGGGCCTAGAACAGAGCACTGAAGTGGAGTCTGGCAGAGTCTAGAAACAGCCCTTGGGCTAGGGCTCAGAGTGCGTACGGAGAACAGGGGGTATGCAAGGGGGATGCTAGTTGAACACGTTCCTTGCAAATTCGCCGCCCAAAGCATTACCGGTGCAGAGGGTGCAGGCCTCGCGGGATGTGTATAGGGAAGGTGTAGGGGTCTAGGGGCCTAAGAGGGTATAAGGTTTTGCGCGTAGCGATCACACCAAGTAGCTTTCACCGGCAGCGATAGTCAATGTTTATGGGGGGATCGTAGGAGAAGGGATTAACAGTTTGCAGTCTTGCAGTGGGCTACAGGTATTTGGGTAAGAAGAGCGTTCGAGTGTGTGTGAACAGGGACCCACTATACAGGTAATTGGCTGCCAGAGTGTGTATCCTACACCGTTAACACTGAACCACTAACCCAAACCCAAAATCTTAAACCCCATGGGCCCTAAACCCTATGTAAAAGCCGAAGCCCGAAAACCCAGAGTCCTAAACCCCCTACCCCAAGGCTCATGGATCCTTGTAGTGAAATCCCAAACCCTAGCCCCCAAAGCCGAAACCCTCCCCCAGAAAGCCCAAGACCCTCTTAGGAGCATTAGGGTAAACCCTAACCCCTGAAATCATGAAGGTAGGTGGGATGTTCCCAAACAAGAGTTCTTATATAAGGGATCCTTAATCCTACCTACCTTCATCCCACCTTTTGAGGCCTCCGAAAATCAGCTCAAGCATCCGCACGAACCGAAGCGGTGAGGACCAAGTCGAGATCCCGCCAGGTCTTTTGCCTTTATTTTCGTTGGGATTAGGGTTCAAAATCCTAAGCCCTAAACCTTAGAAGGGACCCCCACCGTGTCATAGTGGTATAATAGGAATATAGTAGGCCCCTACTATAATCCTTATAGTCACTATTACAGGGTGGGGGGCAGCTTCTAACCTAAACCCTACCACACCCAGACCTTCCAAAATCCCTTAATTAAGGAATCTACCTTAAATCATATTAAGGATCCTACTATAATTTGAGGTATATTCCTTAATTAAGGGGTTTTGGAAGGTCTGGGCACTTCTTTCAAGCGATCCTTAGACGGGATCCTTACAAGGGAGCCTGTCAGGGCTTCTTCGGGTCTTCTACTAGGATACCCAGTAACCTAAGAAAAAAAAAGGCCTCTCTTTTTGGTATTGGGTAACTTTATAAGGAACCTGGGACTACAAAAAGGGAATAAGGGTACTACTGGGCATCCTAGTCTATGTCTTTCATTATAGGTCCCAGGGGCTTGACGTCCTATAAAGGTTTTATAGAGGTAGTATGAAGGGTTTCTTTGAGGCTTGAAGCGAATCTGGGCCTCGGTAGTGAGGGAATTCCTCCCAAAACTATTGACGTTCTGTTATCAATATCCTGCTCTGTTGTTTTTTGTTTTGTTTATTAACCTTGCCAGTTTTCGCAGCTTGGGCTCTGGGTGTAGGGCTTTACGGTTTCAGGGTTTGGGTACCATGGTACTAAAGGGCTTATAGATGGTTACAGGCTGTACGCTATGGGGCTGGTGAATGTAAGGCTAAAGGAACGGCAGTTCTTGAAATCGGTGACCTGGGTTGGCATGGTAGGATCTCTTTGGAGTAGGGTTGAATGGCATCAGCGCAGGTGATAATTTACGACGGGAAGCGACACAGGACACCAGCATCTGGGAACCCTACAAACCCTGAACCCTAAACCCTAAACTGTGTAAACCCTAGGATCACCGGAGGATGGGAAGCTTTGACGGCTTGACTGGGTTCTTGTGAAGGGATTTAATTTAAGTTACCATGATAAGGAACCATACTATTCACCATAGATCCCTACATATCACGGCAACTTAGATTAACTCCCTTAACAAGATCCCAGGTGAGGAGCGGGGCTTGCTGAGGGGGGCAACCCAAACGGAGTGACAGAATATGGGAGTTTCCGAACATTGGGGTACCTTATTTTGGGTCCTTATATCCTTATAACAAGGGTCCTAGTATTTAGGGTACGATGTTAGGGTCCCCTATTTTCGGAAACTCCCATATTGCTGTGGCGGCTGTCAGAGAGGCTGGGCCCTGACAAGTTGGGTTCTTGACCCAAAGGGGCCCAAGTACCTATATGGGGATTACTTAACCAAAGCATATACTAGCAATTCCTACAAAAGAAACCCTACTCTGTACGAAAAAGGTACTTAGAGCCCTTCGCGTTACATACCAAAAACACGTCACCTTCCCACGGCATTCAACCACATCATACCCGCAGCGTCAGTCTTGCTGGTTGAGTTGCACAGCGACCAATCCTCGGTGCATAGTGGTTTTAGGATTTAGGGTGTTGGGTTTAGGGTTCCAAATACTTGACACTTCAAGGAAACACTTAAGGTAAGACGGAAGTATATCAACCACATTGCTCACAGTTTGAGGCTACAAACATAAACTCAGCTCTTGTAGGGGCCGGATTAAAGAGTATTTGTACGTCTGAGAGGGCTTCATTGACTGTACTACACCACAACCCTTTTCACATGTAATCAGGCCTCGCAGACACCCAAACCCTGTTAAAGCCTGAGACCCTAATCTCTGCGACCCCAATCCCAAATTAAATAGGAACTACGCAAACCTAAACCCTGAACCCCTTAAAACTAAATCCTAGCCCTCCTCCAAGGTGAGTCGGGAAATCCACTTGTGGCGAATCTATGGGTTGAAGGCTTAGCTTTCAGAGCTTATAGTCGCCTAGAGGGTCCAAGTCCCCAAATAGTATGGTTTTAGGTCCCAAAAACCATTCAGAGTATGGATTTGGGGATCTAAAACCCTACTATTTGGTTACCTGGACCCTCTGTGTTAGATGCATAGTAGGGGTCCCACTATAGCACGACTCTAACTGCAAAGACGCCTCAATGCCGAACCCCTCAATATTCAAAACCCCCCCAGCATTCCCGAAGTGCGTAAAGCCTGAACCGCCAAAAGAAGGTACATTAATGGTTCAATACCTTCATGCTTTTAGCGTCCAGGCAAAGCCTAAACCCTAAACACTAAACCGCCAAAGCTTCGGTTGACGATGTTCTGCTTCGGCGGGGCCACGAGCCCACGGTCGCGGTCTCCTTCCACCAGGTCCTTTGGCACAGCTTTGGGTTTCGGATTCTGGCTTTGGGTTTGGGGTTTTTGAGCTCCTCTTTGCACCTGCCCCTAGGTCAGCAGCTACAAGGCACACAGGCACAAGGAGATGAAATGGCCAGTTGCTACACCAGCCCGACAACCAAACCCCTCAGATGCCGCCAGGGTTCATGGTTTGGGGTTTGGGTGGTCGTGGTGGTAGCGCCAGCAACCGTGGTAGTAGTCGTAGCAGTGGGCGCCGTTGTAGTGGTCGTGGTTAATTGTCAAGTCTAATACTAACTGTAGAAGTAGAAGTAGTAGTAGTAGTAGTAGTAGTAGTAGTAGTAGTAGTAGCAGTAGCAGTAGCAGTAGCAGTAGTAGTAGTAGTAGTAGTAGTAGTAGTAGTAGTAGTCGTCGGCATCGTAGCCAGTAGTAGCTAGTAGGTAGTAGCCGCTAGTAGGTAGTAGCCGCTAGTAGCTAGTAGCTGCTTGCTCGTAGTAAACTGCAGTGGTGGTAGTAGTAGTAGTAGTAGTAGTTGTTGTTGTAGTAGTAGTAGTGGTAGTGGGAGTAGTGGTAGTAGTAGTAGTCGTAGTCGTAGTCGTAGTCGTACTCGTAGTCGTACTCGTAGTAGTAGTAGTAGTAGTAGTAGTAGTAGTAGTAGTAGTAGTAAGCGTAAGAAGTAGGGTAGAGCAGAGAGTAGAAAGTAGAGAGTAAAATGTAGAGCGTAGAGTGTAAGAGAGTAGAGAAGTAGAGTAGAATGGAGTGTAGCAATAGTAGTAGTAGTAGTAGTAGTAGTAGTAGTAGTAGTAGTAGTAGTAGTAGTAGTAGTAGTAGTACTAGTCGTCGTGGTCGTGGTGGTGGTGGTGGTGGTGGTGGTGGTGGTGGTGGATGGTAGTAGTAGTAGTAGTAGTAGTAGTAGTAGTAGCAGTAGAAGTAGTAGTAGCAGTAGTGGTAGTAGTAGTAGTAGTAGTAGTAGTAGTAGCAGAAGCGGCAGCTGTAGAAGTAGTTGTCGTCGTAGCAGTAGTAGTGCTAGAAAGTTGTAAATAGTACGTAGAAAGTAGCAAGCAGCAGGTAGTAAGTAGTGAGCAGTAAGTATAGTAAGTTGTACTTAGCAAGTGGTCAGGACTCAGAAGCAACTAGTAAGTAGGGATTAGTAAGCAGCGAATAGTGCATAGTAAGTAGTGAGCAGGAAGTAGCGTGAAGAAGTAGTGAGTGGTTAGTAGTACGTAGGACGTAGTATAGTAGTGGTGTAGTACTACTGCTACTACTACTACTACTACGACTACTACTAGTAGTAGTCGTCGTAGTAGTACTAGTAGTAGGAATCGTCGTCGTAGCAATCGCAGTCGTAGCCGTCCTACACCCTAACCCCTGGACCAGTACAGCAAATCATCCTAAACCATGTGCCCTAAACTGTAAGTGCAGGTTTGGGGCAAGATGCTCCATGACGAGCCCCGTCGGGCTATGCAGTTAGCTTGAACATACCAAGACACTATAGAAAAAAAAACAACATGTCCCAGAAGTTTTCACATGGCACTGCTTCCGGTTCCGTCCTCCGTCTCCCAAAGCATTCTAAGTTAATCCTAAGTGCCAAGCAAGTAAGGGGTATCTAAGCACATCCTGATAGTAAGTCCGAATCTACACAACCGTACTTTCTACCACTAGTATGTAAGATGGGTGGCCTTTGTAATTGGAACAGGAATATAGGGGCCGCTGTGACTAGAATAGGGCTTGGGGAATGCCATGGTTGAATTATTTTTCGAGACAATAAAGTCCTAAAGCAGGAGTGTTACCAACCATCCAGGCTTCTACAATGAGTCCTTTAGATCCTAAACCCTCCACCCCAAACCCTCATGACCCTAAAGGTATGGGGTTCGAACTAAGGCTATGATGTTCAAACCTTACACCCTAAACCCTGAACCCCTAAACCCCTAACCCTACACCCCAAACCTATACTGAACTTAGAACCCTAGCAAAAATTACAATTTTAGCTGTTTCTTAGGGACTATAATAACCAAAAATTAAAAAGTATTTCTAAGTACCCCTAAGAAACCCCTAAGTGTATAAGAAGGCTCGGGCCTGTAGACTCTGTGATGCCGTGTCGAGAAGGACGGTGAGCTCTACCTGGCCCCAGGAGCCGGTGTTCGCGGCTTTGGGGGGAGCTCTTATGGTCTTCATAGTGGGTATTTGGGGTATAGATAGAGGGTAGTTGGGAGGTCTAGGTAGGCAATATTATGATAGCTCTCTTCTTCAACAGCCGGGCCCCAAAAAGTTCTAACTTACTAAGACAGCGCTAATACATAAGGCCAACAAGTTTAAAGTTCACCTGTTCGCTATCCAAGTATAGAGGATCATGGGACTTAAGAACTAGGGTTCCTTTACAGGCTTCCATAAGGGGGTCTATGATAAGGGTTACTAAAGGGATTCTAGAAGGGTTTTGGGGTACTTAGAGGATCATGGGACTTAGTAACTCGGGTTATACGTAAGGTAGCTATACGAATAACTGCTTACAGCCTCAGTAACTAAGTCCCATGATCCTCCAAGTTGGGGTTTAGGTTCAGGGCTTGATGTATGTTAATGGCATGGTCTTAAGGTTTGGGTTTGGGGTTTATATCGGTCTAAGGATTTTGATTTAGGGTATGAAAGCCTTTGTCGGGTTTTGCGCATGCTACATGGGGCTTTCAGACATTTGCAACGCCTTGCTTTCGGAACTCATTACGGGATCCTTGTGATGAGAGTCTTTGTAACATTGGACTTGCTCTTTTTGAGTTTGTCATCCGACATGAAATCAAAAACGTGGGTTCCTCATTAGGGTCCGATGTCGACGTGTCGGGGATTTGGGGTGCTGAGGGCTTTTGGGCTTAGGCTTAGGGGGTTTAGGTTGACTTTGCTTGAAGGATCGTTTCTGACTGCCTAGAGCAAGACGTCCTTACGAAGATGAGCACTTCGTTCGGGCCTCACCGATGGAAGAAACGGTTTAGGCTTAAAGTAGCGACCGCCCCCCCACACACTAACACACGCAAGCACACTCAGGGCAAGCCCAGCAACCTTCCTGGTAGGTATATGCGCTCCCGTGGATATGTACCGCCGGCCACTCGACACCCTACGTCCCTAGTTGTCAACAGAAAGTATCCGTGTTCCAATGTAGTCCGGATATTAATATGTATACTATGATATACACCAAAGGCCACATGGGAATTATGAAGGCCCTACATGTATACGGCACGGCCGCATGGTAATTATGAAGGCCTTATATTGCAGCTCTGTTGGGGCTTCGGGCTCGGTCAGGGCAGAGATGTCGCACCAAATCTGAAAACACGGCTCCTAAGGCAAATACCCTACCACTGCAAACAATTCCGACCCCTTTACTTCGATTGATGCATCTCCTGAGCAAGATTTATTGAACATAGGATCCATACAGTATGCTCTTGAGGTGCTTTGCTGTCTCCCTTTACATAGGTTCTGTGACATCATCAGCCATTCGGTCGCCGGTTATGCTTATGCAGTGCCTCTTGTTGTCATGGCTCTTCTCTTTTGCAACGCTTCGGGAGATACGGCTGATGACATATATCCTGCATTACCTTAGTGACCCTAGACCATGAGGAATTATGGTACATTCCTTATTGCGGGTACTGCAGGATTTACATCCCTAGGCACCAAGCCCCAAAGAGTTGTTAATGGTTGCGTGCCACTAAAATAGGGCCCGTAATAATTCGTGTAGGCTTCCTTTAAAGAGCTCCTTCAAAAGGGTCCTATAACGGCCATAGGGTTACTTTGAGGGTACTATGATATGGTAATTAGGGGCCGTAATACTTAGAATAGGGTTTTGGGGCCGACTAGACTATCATAAAAATTCGGGACCCCCAAAATAGTACAGGTAATTATTCAGGCCCCTATGTTACTTCTCTTGTCGTTCTTTGGCACTTTCTGTCGCGTTGCGCGCCGTTCCCCGGACCCCGTTCTATCCCGGAGCCCGATGCCCCTGTGACGGCCATTTTGGTGTAGGACTTGCAGGCAGGAAAAGGGATTAGCATCGTGAACGAATGAAGCGGATGACACTGAAGCCCGCGCCTCTCCGAATAGCCCAAAAGATGGCAATCATAATGTACAAACTTGTAGTTTTCGGACCAAGTACATAACACACAGTGTATAGTATGCAGGTAATTCTTTTTTAAAAGCAAAAATCAGAGGCCATTCCCCTCTTCCTGGAGTCTGGTAAGAAGGAAATAAAGGGAACTCCAGAAAGTTGGAATATGGTTTCAGGGTAGGATACCCCATAATTTACCATTAAGGGTTTAGGATAATCATATTCCAACTTTCTGGCTTTTACTTTAAACGAATATGACGACCTGCTTGCCGGCTGTAGGGTTCTTGTCCCTTAGTTTATGGAAGCGTCTTAGAGATCCGCTTCAAAGTCTAGGGTTCAGGTTGTAGGGCTTAGGGATCCCAATACCCCCGAAGCAAGGAAGCTACGAATAAAAAAAAAGAAAAACAAGAGGGCTCAATATTGCGGCTTAAGGCAGAATGCTTAATTAGGATATGAGGATCTCTGGGTTGTTCGATCCAACTTACAACTCAGGGGTGTACTGTAGGGGCCCTTCTGCATTAGGCAATGTTGGATTATGGCTTAGGGTGCAGACACATGTCAGAAGGATCGTGTGTCAGCAATTGCTTACAAGGGCATCGTTACCTAGGTCAGGGCTTTCAGTGCGCATGCTGAATGCATAATGCTTTTTCGACCTCCCGCGATCAAATCACAGGGTATAACAGGCATGCCCAGAGAGCCCAATACCCCATAATTAAGGAATATGGCTTAAATTATCCAGGGCTTCCCATTCTGTTTTAAACCTCTGGGTGACTCACGGCATGACCGTTAAACAGTGCGCTCTTCGATGCACTGACAGGACCCCTTCTCTGAGCCCTCCCGTGGCCCGACCCGCTACCGTAACACCGTAAAATAGGAGCTAAATATTCAGAACAGGCATTCTACGCGTTTTGCTAATATGCAGACCCTGAACTTCAGATCTTAAACCCGTTTTAGGGTTTAGGGTTTAGGGTTTAGGGTTTAGGGTTTCGGAAGGCCAGATGTCGGGTTTTGACAACCATACGACTTGGATGCGAGATCCTTGTCTATCAGGTTAACTTCCCCCCCCCTCCCCAAGCGAAGTAGGATGTATAGGCTTACTTACCCCCCCTCCTCCCCAAAACAAAGTAGGATATATATATATATGTATATATATATGCATATAAACAAATATAAATATATATATATATATATATATATATATATATACATATATTATATAGGTTTACTCACCCCCCCGGCCTCCCCAAACAAAGAAGGAAAATCATGGCCCATCACCTCTAAAAAGGCTGTTCTTCTTCATACGCTTTTTTGGGGAGCCAAAAGCTGAACACTGTAGAATTTAGGCTTTAGGTTTAGGGTTTAGGGTTTAGGGGTTTAGGGTTTAGGGTTTAGGCTTTAGGGTTGCCTAGAGTAGCCAAGGTATCTTACAAAGGTAAATGTGCCAATTTGCTTACGGTCATAGCTAAACGCGTCTGTCGCTGCCTTGCTTGCAGAGACAGCGAAGCCGAGCACGGTTTGCATGAACCTGCTCGGCAACTGCTGGGAGTGGTGGATTTAATGTTCAGGGGTTTCGGGTTAGGGTTTACGGTTTATGGGGTTTTAGGGGGTTCAGGGTTTAGGGTTATGTTCTTACGTCGTCCAGCGGCTTTACAGGTTCAAAGGATGTCCGGGTCGTACGGTCTGCCGTCCATGCTGCACTAAGGGACATACCGATTGAATATCCAGGCCTTCATTCATCCTTCGAGATACCTGATGCAGGCTTCCAAATTCTGTCTCCTAACTCGGAGTCTATATATGAGCGATGCTAAGCCCAACAGCGAGGATGCTAGAAAGAACATTCCCGACTATACTATACTCAATGGTCCAGCAGGGATTCACGCCCATTGCCTCCATCCCTGTATGACACAGGAGCAACAAATTCAATACGAAGTGAGAAGTATCGCATTGAACCAGGTGGCACTCAGCACGAGACTTCTTAAGTTGGTTCTATGTGAGGTGAAGATTTGTCAGCATTGGGGCTCAAGAAACCCACTTTACGTCAAACCCTGCATGCTTTTTAACCTTAAGCCTGAATGTTGAAGCCAAACACGAGGCCCGATGCCCCGAAAGCAGCCTTCTAAATCAAACTCGTATCCCCCGGCCCTAAACCGCTGCAACCCTAAACCCGAAGCCTTTGACCCTAAGCCCTGAGATCTAAACCCCAAGCCCTGAATCCTGAGCCCACCCTGAAACCCTAAGCCCCCAACCCTAAACCCGAAATCGCTAAGCCCTCAACCCTAAACCCGAATCGCTAAGCCTTCAACCCTGAACCCGACACGGGCCCTACGCCCTCAACCCTAAACCCGAAACCGCAAGCCCTCAACCCTAAAACCCAAGCCCTCAACCCCGTAAACTAAGCCCGAAACGGGCCCTACGCCCTCAACCCTAAACCCGTGTGCAACCCGAAACCCCAAGCCCTCAACCCTAAACCCGAAGCCCTAAAAGCTGAGACAGGGACAGCGCAGCTGCTTGGGCGCAGAAAAAGTTCTGGTCCTCAAGGCGAGCTCACATTCGAAATAGTATTCACCGACAGGACTCACAGGTTCAACACTAAGCCATGTAGTGTACATAGATAAACATGATGACAGCAAAAATGATGAGAAGAGCACTAATAATGATGATGATAAGAAGAAGAAGAAGAAGAAGAGCACTGATAATGACAATAAAGTACAACACCATGTAGTGTTACATAGGAACAACATTGCACTTGTAATAAGAAGACTACTAACAAGTAACTAGCTCGTGATAATGACAGGAATGGTAACATTAATTCAGGGGGTATGAGTATAGTGTAGTATAATGAATCTAGCTATACTACAGGATCTTCGGGCTGGTGCATTAACCCTAAGGGGGCCCACTGTACCTCTATAGGGACTACTTTAAGGCCAAAGTATTGCTATCTGGGTACATGGACCCTTAGAGTAACGAAGAGTAGCGGTGACCGCAAACCCCAGACTCGAGGTAAATGCCAGACCCTCCGCCCAACACCCCTGACACCTAGCGCCTTAACCAGAAAAACAGAAACCTTCTTGAAGGCGCCCGGTACACAGGTTCCCAGGGGCTTATACTTAGATGATCATGGGACTTAGTAATAACAAGGGTTCCCTTAAAGGGCTCCTTTAAGGAATCTACAAGTGACAAGGGTTACTATTCTGGGCTCTATAGGTTCCTATCCCCGATCCCCTGTCCCCGAAATCCCAAACCCGAAATGACAATCGTATTAAAGAAAAGCTATAGCGCTCCTGTAGCAACTCTTCTACGTAACTGGACCCGGGGCTAAGCCTTATACACCCTACACCCTCCACAAACCCTACTTAGAGGATCATGGGACTTAGTAACCAGGGTTATAAGTAAGGTAACTATACTTATAACTCCTTGTAACCCCAATTAAGGTACAGATATCCTTACTTAAACTAAGTCCCATGATCCTTTAAGTATAGGGCCCGAAAAAAAGCACATAAGCAAAACTTAGGATAGGGATATCCCATATAAACCCCCTTAAAAGGAAGCCCAATAAGGTAGGGATATCCCGGTAAAATGCTTATGCTTATGTCCCTAAACCCTAAACCCTAAAAGTCAAGGGCCCCAGGAGGCAGCAACCCCACGGTAGCAAACCTCGGCAGCGAGGATCGCCGTGCGCCAGTTGTCGTCCGAAAGATCCCTGGCTTCTCAAAGGGCTCCTTAAAGGGATCTATAGGGATCCTTAAAGGGGATCTATAAGCTTCTCAAGAAATGGGAGTTTCCGAAAATTACCCAGAGCGTCCAGGTACCCAGATAGTAGGGTTTTTGATCCCAAAATCCATACTCGGAATGGTTTTGGGGACCTAAAACCCTACTATTTGGGGACTGGGAACCTCTGGGTTGCAGGACCTTAATATAATACCTAACTAGTAGGATCCTTATTACAAGGACCCTAAAATCAGGTACTCTCTTTTTAGGAAAGCCCAACATCTCTTTAGGCTTCCTTTAGCGGTTCCTTAAAGACTCCCATGAAGGTTCTTTCGAAGGTTGAGGGTTCGGGGCTTCGGAGTTTAGAAGAATATAGGAGCCTAGATAACTACCAATACTATTTCGGCGGCTCCTTATTATAGTTATACTTCAATGGGCTCCAAAACCCTATTCTAATTATTACGGCCCTTATATTCGGGTTTAGCACCTGAGAGGATTAAGGCTTCAAAGGTTTAGGGCTTTGGGGGTTTGCCCTAAGGGACCTTATTATGGGGTCCTTCAGGGGTCTAGGGCCCTAACTATGAGGTCCTTGGAGGGATAGGGTAGGGGTTCAGGGTTTAGGGTTTCTATACTGTGCGGCCGTACTAAATACCACAAGCGAATCTAGAATAGGTACTTTAATCCCTATACCCTACATGCTTCACTCTGAACCCCTGGGCTTTTCAGTAACCAGGGAGAAAAAAGTATAAACTTCTATTTCATACGGGCTCCTTTAAGAAAAAAGCATACAAGTATGATACGCCAAAGCCCAGACCCAAGAAATACTAGTATTCACCCCCCCCCCCAACCCGAGCGCCGAATCGCAACCCCCGGGTCGACACTGCCTCGGGTCGACGCAGGTACTTGTGTTCGGCTCATAGATGTACCTGGCTGTTTCAGATTTTAAGGGGGTTCTTGAAGCGGGGGGGGGGGGTTAATAAGTTTTGGCAAAACCTTCGTGCGGGTTTTACATGGTGTTGGGTTTCGGTCCTCGGGTGTGTAGAGAATCCCAAGAATTTTGGGGCGCGCTTAGGCCTCATATTACTAGGTTCAGATTGCAAGATGCATGCCCCTTTGTAGGGTTTTCGGATTCAGGGCGTCGGGAGCATAAGGGGTAATCAGGGGCTTTGGATGGTATAAGGGCAAACAGGTGTAGCGAGCTACCGGGACTGCAGCTGCTTTTTGACTCGCGAAGCTTCCATTGCCCTATGCGACTTGCGGCTCCATAGCCATACCTGCTTAGCGGATCAGTCAGGAGTGCTGAATGCCTGCTGACTATGTTGTTAGGGTTTTGGTGCTGCAGGCAAACTTTACGCCCGAAGACAGCCGCAACTTTCAGCACTCAAGACAACGTTCGCAGCATAGGCGGTTCAATCTCTAATCCCTGAACCCTAAGGAACCCACGTTTTTAGGGCTGCGCATAACAATGGCCTCATAGGGATGCTGGGGCGACACTTGCATATTGCTTTGGATCGCAGGTGAGGGCTGCGCGCTCAGCACCCGACACGCGTGGGTCGTCCCCGTCATCTCTGCAAAGCCCATGGTGCACTGGAAACTCTGAGACTCCAATATCCCTTACTTACGGAATATTCCTTAAATCATAGTAGGATCCTGTATATAATTTAAGGAATATATTCCTGAATTAAGGGATATTGGAGTCTTCGGGAACTCAATATCCGGAACGAGCTTGATGCAGCCATCTGCCGCCCAGGAGTGCGTTGGGAGGTTGGGTTTCGAGCCCGTGCGAAATTCATCACAGCTTGAGCGGTTATGGCAGGCTGCCCCTGCTGCGGCACCTGGAATACGTTGGGGCCATCATGCACACCATTGGTTGTTGGCAAACATCCGACTCAATGTGTGCAGAAAGCAACGCCATCACCTCCAGTGCTGCAGGGATTCAGGCTCGTAGTTGACCCCTCCGAATACGCCCCGTCAAAGGGCTGCAAGACCATTCGCCTGCAGACCCTTGCCACTGCTGTCGTCCAGCTCAACCGCCGGCAGAGGACATATAAGTCTTGAACAGAATTGGGGTTTAAGGTAAACCGGGAACCGTTTTAAAACAAACGCCCCTGAAGTTATTGAGAAGACACGGACCCAAACGTCCTAAGCACCTACAGAGTAGCAAGTAGGACCTCTATTTGGATAGGTATCCCCGGGTATTTTTTATATAGCCCCGCAAGTGCCACAAGGGTCCATGTGCTCATATATATATATATATATATATATGTGTGTGTATATATATATATATACATATATATATATATACTTTGGCCCCAAAGTCAAGTACCCATAATTACAGGGAATACTTTAACACCAATGTATACTGCATGGGTACATGGGCCCTTAGGGTAGGTACTTCGGACACTTTGGGTGAAGCCGACGCGGGCTAGGGTTCGGAGTTCCGGGCGGGGCTTCAGATCTTCAGGCAGGGTACGGCCCCCACGTGGTAACAGTTTATACTAGGGGTCCTGCTAAGGGCTTTGTAGAAGTACATCGCGAAGTATGAATGATAACAACTGTTACAAAGGGGGGGCAGTATCCAACCTTACGGTTGAATTGGAAACCAAACAAACAAAAGGCTAAAGCCCAAATGTGCGGTACTATTGGGTGAAGCATACCCAAGCCTGCGGTGTGGTTTGATAACTTGTTTATTGGTGGGAATAGTCTTTATTGTAGGGGCGCTTAATCAATAGAATATGTCTTGGGGTCCAGTAAAGTATAACTACCCTAACCATCGCACGCTTGAAAAAACACTGGATTTCGCTTGAAAATACCAATCGATTCTGCTGCGCTTGAAAATACCATGTGCGCTTGGCATTTTCTATCGGACCCGCTAGGAATCGGTTGGGATGCTATTTTCTCCGCTAGGTTCTCCGCTAGGTTCTCCGCTAGGTTTTTATCATCGATTCCGCAAGGTTTTTCATCAACGATTTCGCTTGGTTTCCCGTGCCCAGCACACCAAAAACATCGAGCCCAACCCGGAATTCTGAAGCACACAGGTCTTCACAGGTTTTCACAGAATTTCACAGGTTTTCACAGAATTTCACAGATCTTCACAGATTAGTCTGTGAAGATCTGTGAAATTCTGTGAAGATCTGTGAAATTCTGTGAAGATCTGTGAAAACCTGTGAAGATCTGTGAAAACCTGTGAAGATCTGTGAAAACCTGTGAAACCAGAAATCGCAGGCTTCAAGCCCGGTCAAACACCCGTGCTCCTGAATGCTCCGCTTGGTTTTTGCTATATGCTGCTATTGGTTCCCCGCTAGGTTTTTGTTTCGCTTGGTTTTCACAGAAAACTAGTGGATCCGCTTGAAAATATCAATCGGACCCAATCCGCTTGAAACTACCAATCGAATCCGTTTTTTTCTGTCGGCCGATGGATAGGGTAGTATAAGGAACCCTAGGAAATAATCTTGGCAATTAGTCAGGCTCCTACATTAGGGAGTGTAGAGGCTCAGGTGGGTTTAGGGCTTTAAGAAGATATGCGGCATGCGCCTCTAATGTAAGGGCCTCAATAATTAGAAGAACTAGGGCTTTGCGTGTTCCGTACTATAAACAAAATACAATATACTTACTACCCCATAATTACTAAGGCCCCTATATTGCCAGCTTCTGCAAAAGACAAGGTGCATTTCTGCCGCGACCTTCATCGCCTTAATGAGGGGATCGCTCCTGGGCAAAGACTACTTGGCTTCAAGCAGCTCTTGGCAATCTGGGTTCGGGTCCCTGTTCAACCTTGATACAGGGGGGGCCTGTACAATTAGAATAGGGTATGTTGGAGTATACTATATTATTGCTATACTCAGGACCCCCAAAACAACATGCTCCACACTTGAACCGTGCGAAGCCCTCGTGCTTAAAATCCAAAACCACCCTAAACCCTAAACTCTAAACCCCTAAGCCCCTAAGCACCTAAACCAAACTTGAACCGTGAACCCCGCCACCCGCAAACAACACACCCTTAAACAGTCCCAGAGGGTCCAGGTACCCAAATACTAGGGCTTTAGATCCCGAAATCCATACTAACCCTACTATTTGGGGACTTGGACCCTCTGGGAATGAAGATCTACTTGCAGGATCATGGCATTTAGTAACTCGGGTCATAAGCAAGGTAGGTATCCTTGTGCCTTATAACTACAACTACTTATAACCCCAATCACAGTACTTATAACCTTACTTGCTAAGCCCCGTGATCCTCCAAGTAGGCCCTAAGCCCGAAACCTTTCATTTCACCCCAGACTCTGCAGATGGGACCCTCCAGCACCTTATATAGAAGCCGCTAAGAATATTGAGTGGCATTTATTATGGTTACACTAAACCCCATACAGTTGGAAACCGAATTGAGGCCAAATAGTGCTGGGATTCCCTATATCGGATTTCCAACTTTTGGGCTTCTACTGTATTCCGACTCTAATTATAACTATCTCAACCCTTCGAGACCAAACCTTGATGCCGTAAGACCCTGGAACTTTGTGCAGCACCGGCGGCAGCGTTGTTATGTTCCTTAGCTGCGCGGGATCGTTCGGGCCGCGGGCAAGTATTCCAACCTTTAGTGCGCTCTGTTCAACAGACGAAGCCTAAACCCTAAACCCTAAACCCTAAACCCTAATCCCTAAATCCTAAACCCTAATCCCTAAACCCTAAACCCTAAACCCGAACAAGGCTTAGAGTTTCGGCCTTGCGGCCGGCACAGTCCCTCTCTGACACACGGTTTAGGGTTTAGGGTTTGGGGTTTAGGGTTTAGGGTATAGGGTTTAGGGTTTAGGGTTTAGGGTATAGGGTTTAGGGTTTAGGGTTTAGGGTATAGGGTATAGGGTTTAGGGTATAGGGTTTAGGGTATAGGGTATAGGGTTTAGGGTATAGGGTTTAGCGTTTAGGGTTTAGGGTATAGGGTTTAGGGTATAGGGTATAGGGTTTAGGGTTTAGGGTTTAGGGTTCAGAAAGTTTTGGACTCTTGCTGGGTCTGCAACTGCTGTGTCCTAGAATGCATAGAACAACCCTATTCAAGTCCTCCATCTTTAACTTGGACTTAAGGGTCCACATACTACGGACAGTCTGACTGAGGACGAGTTTGTTTTCCACAGTATCTTCGTATCGTATAAGGCTCTTAAGATTGGGGGTATACATAATGGGGATCCTATTTCGTGTTCCCGACGGAGGGCCTCCTGAGAAAAAACGAGTTTGGTGCAGTCAAGAAGTCAGTGTGATTGTCTTATGATCCCAAGATTATCCCAAGATTTGAGGTGCTCTGCTTTATCCCCATTTTAATTGTCTGCCATCGTGGTGGTTGAAGGGTCAGACTCTCTGACAACACAAACTCCAAGTCTTGAACGGTTACTTCCTTTTTGGACTGCACTGCCTAAACCGTTAACCTATATAGGTCCCACTTATCGACTCCAACACCCCCCCATGTTATGTGTAGCCCGGGCTGCGCGAACCAGTGAAGGAAACCAATATCCAACTAGACTATGTGACCTATATATGCGTTAAAACGCCGCCATCCCAGTTGCTTAATCGAATCTGATGCCCGGATAACGCTCTCCTCCGCCGAGCGCGCTGCAAAAACCTTGGCGGTTGTCGGGCTGCCACGGTTTAGGGGTTTAGGGGCTCAGGAGTTTAGGGTTTAGGGGTCAGGGGTTTAGGGGCTTAGGGTTTAGGGGTTGAGGGGTTAGGGGTTTAGGGGTTAGGGGTTTAGGAGTTTAGGGGCTTAGGAGTTTAGGGGTTAGGGGTTTAGGGTTTAGGAAAGCCAGGGCCCCAAAGACTCAAAAACATGTTCAGATCATCGAACCGTTTTGCTCATTTTCAACCTGAGCAGTAGTCTCTGATATGATAACTCTTAACTCTTAACATATGGGCGCCCTTTTTGGGTAGCCTAAATAACAGGTGCCGTACTATAATCAGGACCCAAAAAGGGACCATAATTTTGACAACCGCCCATATAACAGGGACCTGAAACCCCTATTTCTTTCAACCAGAAGCCGTAAACCCAAACCTCTCTTGCAAGCTGGATAGGGATTCTGGAGCCGTCCAGTGGGTGTTGTGGTTGCGTCATCGGTGCTCGCAAAACCCTCGCACGTTGCAGGCTTTAGGATTGGCGCCCCTGAACCCTACCCATAGGCACCATAGTATAGTTCCCTTTGGGGATTAACTTATAGAATTTTAAATATGAACCCCAAAAAGGAACTACACTAGTACTATGGGGCCTACGGGTAAACACTAAGCCCTCGGGTTGGTTGCACAGTTGAGAATTATGGCGCCTCAGGTCCATGCACCTGTACGCCCACCCCAGCACACTTTTAGAAGCCAGGTATGTAGAGGCCTGAATGATCACAGAGGAAGAATAGCCCCTATATCCTATAGAATGAAGTAAGCTGAACCATACAAACCAGAACAAACTCTATCCTAAATCCAAAGCCTGAAACACAAAACACCTTGCAAAAGGAAACCCAAAGGGTCCATGCACCCATGTAGTTTGTTTACTTTGGTCGCAAAGTACCTATATAGGAAATACTTTACGGTCACTGTATATACTACATGGGTAGATCCTTAAGGAAGATATGCAGCGGCTCACCTCGAGGATGGTTGGTACCAGTTTTTCGAAGTAGTACGAGACCTCCCTCATCTGGTTCAAAGTGCACACCTCGGAAGGACAGGGTTTAGGGCTTTAGGGTTTAAGGATGAGCATAGGCAGAACACCCCTAAATACTAAAGGCTCTTTAATAAACAACTTAGAAAAGGGTCCTCTTGTGAAGGTTTTCCACAGGGTTCCTTTTAAGGTTTAAGGGTTCCATACGGAGGCTATGAAGATCTAGTATTGGGGCCTGAGCAGTTCGAACAGGGTTTAGGGACTGCATTATACGATAGACTACACCAGATGCATATTAAGGGCACATATGAACTACGAGGGAATACCACCCCACCCGAAGCTACATCCATTTGCCCACCCACCCGTTCAACGACATACCCCGCCACACGCACACACACACACACGCATAGACTCACCCACTCACAGACAACACATATACACGCAGAGGCAGTTCTGGAGAAACTAGCGTTAAGGTTTAGGGCTGGCAGTAGATGCTACCCCCACTTGAAAACATTGACGAGGCGTCTAAGCTCTCGCAATCCCCACACCCCGAAGTTTTATGAGCAGGTAGAGACATGACTCAGGGTACCCTGCTTGATTTAAGCGAGCGCAAGACTCTAGTTTGCCTTCAACATACGAAAGCAAGGGTTCAGGGTTTGAGGTGTAGGCTTCGTGGAGGCTTCTGCATGGCAGCTGCAGGAAAAGCCCGTTCCAAGCTCCCTGTCCCGATACGGAGGATTCTTATTCTTTCAAGCATAACTAGGAGGTGCTTCTAAAGGCTTTGAACGATCTTATTACGTAAGATCCTCTTAAGTCCAATAAGAGCAAATATAAAATGCCCCGAAGCCCTACCTAGACAAGATGCCTGATACTCTGGTCCTTGAGTAGGAAGCCTGGAAGCAGGCACCCACACCTCCGAAGAAGGAAAGGCCTGCTCCGAAATTCGCCAAACTCGCAGCACTTGACGTTAGCGTTTAAGGTGTAGGGATGTTTACTTAGAGGATCATGGGACTCGGGTTATAAGTTAGGTAACTATACTTACAAGTACTTGTAACCCATTGCGATTAAGGCACATATAGCCGTACTTACTAAGTCCCATGATCCTTTAAGCAGGGTTTAGGCGACCACAACGAAAGCTCATGACATCCAGGGGTTAGGTATAGGTGAGCCACATTCCGCAGCGGTGGAACACCGGCCCATGATGCTCCTGCTGACAAAAACAATGAGAAACACACAGGGATTAATTAGCCCATAGCAGCTGCGACCGTAATGTTTAGAATTCTAGTGCTTGCTATTGCGTTGTTCTGCGGGGTTTAGAGTCCGTAAAGAGGTGTCGGGATTTAGGGTTTAAGCAAAAGAACCTATACTGAACTTAGAACCCTAGCACAAATTATAATCCTAGCTGTTTCTTAGAGCTTATAATAACCAAAATTAAAAAAAATATTTCTAAGTACCCCTAAGCAAAAACGAGTCTCCGTAGCAACCATTAAGCTGCCAAGCAACCGTTGGAATGGCAAGACTGCTTGGAGGGTCGGGGGACTTAGTAAGTAAGGTTATAAGTACCTTAATAGGGGTTATAAGGTTCCTTTAAAGGGCTCTATAGGGGTAGTATAGGGTTTAGGGTTTAGGGTTCAGAGACTTAGTAAGTAGGTAGTAAGTAGACTTATAAGTACCCTAAAAGGGGTCCTCATTGGGGTTATGGTACTTGTAAGTCCCTAAAAGGACCAGTTACTAAGTCCCCCGACCCTCCAAGTGCCCTAAATCGTAAACCTTTGGGTACTGCCCCCCACGCAGTGACAGTCTAGACTAGGGCTACTATTCAGGGACTGGTATATCTATATAGTATACACGTTATTCAACTGTTCCTGGGTAGGGGCAGCGCCCAACGCAAGCCCTAAATAATAACATAATCACAGCCATAGTAAAAAGCACAGGAGTCCGATTGCTCCTCGTCGATTTGTTTGCTTGCGGTGTTGAGTTGAACGTCCGCAGAATCCGCGGTTCCCGCCCGCGTAAGCAACACTACCCCTTCAACGCCTACTTGGAGATTCAGGACATCCAAGCCGATAGAAACTAATGATGGCCTAGGCCACTGTTCTCAGGGTCTCATAACTGGGCTTCAACTTACTCACTCCCCCAATCAACCACAGAAATAGAGGGTTAAACTTTCCGATTCCTACTAAACTATAAGAACCCAAAATGTTTAAAGGTTGGGTATTGGGGATCTTTGTCAAGTGGAGCCTAAGAATCGGTGACAGACACCCTAAACCTCGCAGTGACAACGATCCCTTCGACCGTTAACCCCCAGCTAGTACCACTGCGTCAGCTTGAAAACCCCAGTCTGTAGATCATGGACTGCAATGCCGTGTCGGTTCATTCGGAGTCTTGTCAGTTATGTTGCACATGCATATGTATGCACGTATGATTGTGCACACCCATCCAACCACGCATCCACGCATCCATCCATCCATCCATCCGTCCATCTATCTATCCATCTATCTATCCATCTATCCATCCACCCACCCAACCACCCACCCACCCACCCATGCATCCATCCATCCATCCATGCTTCCTTCATTCGGCCCAGCCTTCCATTCATCCTTTCATGCATCTGTACAGGCAGACATGGGTGCGTACATGAACATTTATACATACATACTTACATACATGCATGCATAAATGTATACACACATACACACATACATGCATGCATACCTGCATACACGTACATGTACGTGTATAATATATATATATATATATATATAGACATATGTATGTACGATTGTGCGTGTGTACGTACAAGTATGTTTCATCTGTCTATCCGCTTGCATATCTACTGACGTGTCTATCTGCATGCCGAGGCAATGGTGTTCCACAGTTAAGTTTCTCATTAGTTAACCCAGAGGGTCCAGGTACCCAAATAGTAGGGTTTTAGATCCCAAAATCCATACTCTGAATGGTTTTTGGGACCCAAAACCATACTATTTGGGGACTTGGACAGTCTAGGTAAGTCGTAATTACCCTCTCAACTCTCCTTACCATCATGTTGTGGCGGTTGGACGCAAGCGCTCCCTGATCCTTTCTCAGTACCGAAGCAACAGTTTCGTGGCCAAGTTCTGGAAAAAATGCGCCCGTACCAAAAAAGAAAGGGACACCAAAAGTCACATAATCTTGCAAGTTCGCCCCCCCACCCCCCCCCGCCATCGCCCTCAAAAACAAGGAGGTGCATGTCTGGGCCGTGGAAGGGTGCATGTTTAGTCCGTGGAGTGGTGCATGTTCAGGCCATAGATGGGCACTCAGAAAGAAGCTTGCTGGGACGCTCGGAAAACAACAACAGCACAACAACAACAAAGACCACAACACACACGACGACAACAACAACGAGAAAGAAACAATAACAATAACAACAACATCAGAACAAGACTCAACCTGGTTCCCGTTGCCCTTTCGGTTGCGTGTGCTTCGTGCCACCACCATAACCACAGCTGTTGCCTTCACCTTCACCGAATAGCACACCACTGCTGTTCATTTCGGCACTGGCTATGCCTTTAGCCTAATCCCTGTCAAGAGCTTCATGTTATGGGGCGGCTGTCCGGTCAAGACTATTTAGGGCTCTATAGATTTAAGGTTTAGGGTTTAAGGCTTTTTAAAGTCAAGGCTCTACTGCTGCAGGATTCAGTGTTTAGCACGTCGAAGTTCAGCATTTTACGGTATCTTTGGGCTTTGGGCTTTAGGGCCAGGGGCTTCTTAAGGCTTGTTGGCTTTGGGTTTCTAGGGTTTTGGGGCTTAGGATTTTATTGGCTTCGGGTTCCAGGATTTGGGCGGTTGTCAAAAATATGGCCCCCTTTTTGGGTCCTTATCATAATACGGCACCTAATATTTAGGGCTCCCAAAAAGGGGCCCTAATTTTTGACAACCACCCTAAACCCCTAAACCCTATGAAAGAGCCCTTTAACGAACCCCTTATGGATCCCATTAAAGGAACCCTTATAGATCCCCTTAAAGGAACCCTTGTAGATCCCTTGAGCGGAACCCTTATCAATCTACAGATCCCTAAATTTTCTTCAAGCTCTCATCCTGCGATGATCCCCACGTGAGAAGCTTCGAACAGCTCTTTCGTAGCTTCGAGGTTCCTGGGCTAATGGAGCTTCGAGTTGAGGGCTTAGTTTTTTTTTTTTGAAAGCTCTGTTGCGCCTGCACGAAGTTCGGCCTACGCAAGCCTTATTTAAGGCGAGGGCTTAGGGTTTAGGGCTTAGGGTTTCAGGGGTTTAGGATTTAGGGAACCCTAAACCCTAAACCCTCCCTTCCCTTGATACTGAAACCTGGTTTAGGTGCCCCGATGTTGATTTTCTGATGAGGGTTAGGCAGTTATTGAAAGAGACAGCTATGTAGTTTAACATTACCGGAAGCCAAAATCTGAACCCGAAGCCTGAACCCTTAAGCCCTAAGTCCAAAGCCCCTAAACCCTAAGTCCTGGTCCTTTCGGTTACAAAGCGGGGGGAGTGGGGGGGGGGGCTTTGATGATAGGGGGAAGGGATTAAGGGATTTTGGAAGGTCTGCGCAAGTACTTCCTGCTATTCGGCAAAGAGAGTAGTAGCTGGGGCAGAAGCACTGTGGGCAGCTTACTCGCAGGGTATGTACTTAGGGTTGCTGGGTTTACACACGCGACAAAACACACACGACAAAAAAATGGAATCTTAAGTTCTTAAGACAGAGTTCCTAGCCGTTAAACCCTAACCCCCAAACCCAAAGCTCCCGAATCCATAAACCCTAAACCCTAAACCCTAAACCCTAACCCCGAACTTCGCAGGCCCTTGAACCCGAGGCTTTAGTGCCGCAGCCTTGGAGAGCTCCTTGGTGTAGGGTATAGCTAGAGTAGCCAATGCACCCTTAAGAGTGGGGTATGGCCCAAGAAAACTGGTATATGCATGTTTTGTCGGGTGTCGGGTTAAGGTTTAAGGTTTCAAAAACTACTAGAAGGAATACCCAAAACCCACACTACAAGCTCTTCGGGTTGGCCTTATACCAGATCCTTGACCTCTGTGCAGGGTTTAGGGTTTAGGGTTGCTGTTTCAAAAAAGCAAAGCAGGAGGACCTATGGGTGTTGTGGAGACCATGAGGACCCGACCAGCACAGATCATGAACGGTCTAGGGTTTAGGGTTTAGGGTTTCCTAATCAACCCACAGCCCCTGAACCCCATGTGGCCGAAAACAACTTACCACCAAGAGATTCCAACATCCTTGAACTAAAACCATACCTAAACAAATCTTCATAGTTTAAGACCCCAACACCTAAACCCCAAACCCGAACCCCTAAAGGGACCTCTAGGGTGCCTGAGAGAATCCCTGTGCAGGATCCCCACAACCCTGAACTCAGGAGTTTTGCCCTCGGAGACTGAGTACACAACTTCCGGGCCTAAGCCCCAAAGACTTTACACTTTCAGCCCTCAGACCCTAAACACCGAGAACGAGTTAAACCGCAAACTCTGAGGTCCTAAACCCTAAAATGATTCGAAGTCCTATGCCCTAAGCCCTAAGACTCTAAGGCCCTAATTACGTCCCTAAACCCCAAACCCCGTACTCCCTAAACCCCAACCCTTAAACCCAAGGCCGAGAGACGCGATGTTATCCAAAGCATTCACATCCAGGCCGACTTTCAGCATCTCCTCGACATTTCACCCTTGTCCGTTTAGAAATAATAGACAGAGCCCTATACCTATATCCCTTAGTAGGAATGATTTAAGAAGGTCTACTAGCCGGTCTGTTTATTCTTTTGGGGGAACCATGAAAAAGGACAAGGCTGCGACGTTTCACTGCAACAGCCCAGTCACTTTGCCCATCTCTCACAGGCCTGTATGTATATAAATGCATCTAGGTAGGTAGGTATGTCTGTTTGTGTTTGAGTATGTATGTATGTATGCATTCATGGATGCATGTATGTATGTGTGTATGCATATGTGAGTATATGTATAACTGCATCTTTATATGTATATGTGTACGCATGAATGCGTCTGCATGTGTATGTACGTATGTATGTATGTATGTAGGTATGTAGGTATGTATGTGTGTATGCATGTATGTATGTATGTATGTATGTATGTATGTGTGTAACACATGTACAAACATCAATGAATATGTATATATAGAAAACGTACGAACGTATACGCACATAAACGTATACGAATCTATGATATCATGTATATACATGCATATGTTTGTGAATATGCGTACAATGTAGAAACATGTGTGCAAGTATACATAGAGTTGTATGTACGTCTGTGTGTATGTATATATGTGTATATATGTGTATTATATATATATATATATGCGCAATGATGTATCCTCATATCGCCATATTGGTACTGCTGGCTGAAAATACATTGGGTGTTTGGGCTGCCAGAAATGCTTCGATAGCGCTTCAGCCCCGAGCCCCCCCCGGGAGGATGTAGAAAGTAGAACCTCGCGAGTGCTTCATCGCCACCCCTTTCAGGAACCCTCAAAGGAACCTCAAAGGAACCCTTGAAGGATCCCTTTCATAGCACCCTTGAGGGATCCCTGTAAAGAACCCTTTAAGGAAGCCTCTAAGGAACCCTTTCAAGCAACCCTCTAAGGAACCTCAAGGGAACCCTTGAAAGATCCCTTTAGGGAACCCTTTAAGGAAGCCTTTTAGGAACCCTTTAAAGGAACCCTGGAAGAATACCCTTCGAACACCGTTTGAGTAATCCTTTAAAGATCTACTTGTTGGATCCTCCTGTGGGTCTGGGCGGCTCAGAGTCGAGGAACATCGGGGCTTGTTGAGATAAGCTTGTTTACGGTTTAGGGATTTAGGGTTTAGGGTTTACGGTTTAGGGATAAGGGCTTCAGGAATAGGGTGTAGGGTTTCGGGATTTGGGTTTAAGGTTTAGGACTTAGGGTGTAGGGCTGAGGTTAAGGCATGTAGGCATGTAGAAAACCAAAAAAACCATCGGCATAAACCCTGCATCTCTAAACCCTTGTAGAACGCTCTCGAGGATTCTCGCCTTGCCCATCTTGTGGACAAGCATGACCTGCCTCTCAGCGATGTCCATGACGAGACCTCTTGATGCTAAGCTGAAGAGTTTCGGGTTTAAGACTGGCAAGGGTTTAGGATTTGAAGCTTTGTAGGGTGTTTTGCGGTTTCGGGCTTAGGGCTACAGGGCTTTACCGAAGATTCCTGGCAGGGTTTCTGAAATTTAATTAGGGTACCTGTTTAGTGGTCCCTAGAGTAAGGACTGCAGTATTTCGGGTCCTTTCTTTATGGGCCTCCAATTCTTGAAACTCCCAAACAGCCAAATTAGAGTAATTACGTGCGTACCAGGTAAAAGTACCTGAATTGAGGCTACAAGCACTTTAACTGGGGAGATCAGTGGTTAAAAGTATAGTTACCTTACTTATCACCCCTAGTTACTAAGTCCAATTGCTCCTCTAAGTACCCCCCAAACCCATATAGAACCCTTAACAGTAACCCTTATAGATCCCTTAAACGAACCCTTTCAAGGTACCCGACTTACTACGTCCCATGATCCTCTAAGTACTGGCTCCATCTTTGGAACCCTCCTGGAGGTCTACAATCATCGCCTCGGTACAACTAAGGTCCTACGGTACCCTCGCCCAAACAAGGCTAACCTTTAAAATGCGGTAGGATTATATACACCCCCCCCAAAATCATAAGGGGTATCTACTCAGCTACTACTTAGAGGATCAAGGGACTTGGCAACTCGGCTTATAAGTAAGGTAGCTATGCTGTTAACCGCTTATAACCCCAATAAAGGTACTCATACCCTTACTTACTAAGTCCCATGATCCTGCAAGTAAGTCCTACTGACCCAGAGGGTCCAAATTCACTACAATTATGGGATTAGGTTCCAAAAGAAGATCCCCTTTTGGTTTTTGGGACCTAATTCCATGATAGTAATGTATATGGAGCCTCTAGGTGGGAATTTATGAATAATCACAAACCCCCAAACCCCTATAGATCCCTCAAAGGAACCCCGTAAAGATACTCATATATACATATATACATCCCTTTATTCTGCTGAGAATTTCTGAACCCTAACGGCCCATGTCCCCAGGTAGTCGATATTTTGGGCCCAATGTACCTATACATATAGGGACTACTGAAAGGCCAAAGTATATACTATTTGGGTACATGGACCCTTGGGAGAATAATCACAACGAGGACACGAGGACATTGCAGGGGGCAGCCCAAAGGTTCTCACCCGTCAGCCCCAAAGCAAAACGCAGAGCTTGACGCATTATCCCCGAGGGTCCATGTACCCAAATAGGAATCCTAAAAGGGGTTCCTGTAAGGGTTGCTATAAGGGTTTTAGGGTTTGATGGGATCTCTTATAAGTTATCGTTCACGAGATCTCTTCTATGCTTTATGGCAAGCAATCGACAAACAAATCCGAGAGCGGCACCTCGATCTTGGACCAATCGGTTTGAGTTTCCAAACTAGGAATGGGCCTGTGGTATCATGGAGATACAGACGGTATATAAATCAAAACGCATCATTTGTGAAGAGCCTGCAATTTAACAAATGTCTGTAATACCCCAAGAAGTAATCAGAAGTAACCTAGAAAATGCAAAGTACGACATATGAAACCTACAAACCGTGTGGCCACCGCACAAAAGCCGATATGTGTAGTTCTCTAAATAAAGGTCCCCCCAAACAGTACGGCACCCTCAAACACAGGACCCTAATAGAGATCCATGCAGATTTAGAGAACAACCCATGCTGTGCCCCAACATCCAAGCGAGCGCGGAGGGGCCGTTGGTGGGCACCCCGTCATACCACGCGGCCTCGGTCATCCTCGGAGTTGGAAACTTTGTTCAGTGTTTACTACTTGGGATTTAACGGCTCAGGGTTATGTAGGGTTTTATGCAGAGGGCTTCACCCGGCCCGGACGGAAGATTTTCCAATTTTTGTAAGTGTGAAGTTTGTAAGGCTTTAAGATTCATCGATCATGGGCTGTTTAGGCTGTTTTATGGCGCTGAAGGGGCTTATGATTCTAGCTTGGGGTTTAAGTTTAAGGGTTTAAGTTTAGGGTATTGGATATAAGGGTTTAAAGGCGCAGGGCGATGAGGGTTGGGGGGTTGAAGGATTTCATTGTGCAACCTCAGCCTAAACACGTCAGGCATGTCTGCTTCACGAAACCTAGCTCTGGCAATCAAATCTTCGGAAGCGACATTGCTTTTTCGGCCACACTGTGCGAGGTGGGCTTGCCATCAGATTCAGAACGGCACCGAAACACCATTTCTACTAAGGGTCCAACTGTTCAGTGACTAGTTTCTTGGGTTTAGGCTGGTAGTATTCTGCAGGATATTGCTAATGTTGATGCGTGTCCTTCAAACGGAACATGCAACTCAAATGCGCCCCTGTAACCCAGAAACGTCATGTGCATACGGTTGGGCTTATATCACATGTCTGTATGCGAGAACTTCAAATCGAACTGAAATTGCTGGGAAGCTGTTGGAAGGTCCTTCAAGTTCTCTTGGTTCCCGTAGAACCGTAATCTGAAACAGCCCCTTTGGACTGTGATGATAGGAAACATGAAAAGACAATTCTAATGACACTGCGCTTCTAAGGCTACACTTACAATACATACACCCATGAAGAAAGCGGCTTAAGGCACAATCCTGGGGTTTTCGGTCCATAAGTTTAACTGCGCTGACGACAAGAATGAAACGGTGTGGAACCTTTAAACTCTTCGAACCTGAAGCAATACTCTGATCACAAAACCAGAAACCCCAAACACTAAGACCCGGTTTAAGTCCGTTTAAGGGCTTAGGGGTTTATACACAGATTAGGGCTTAGCACTAAAGAGTCTCAGTGCTTGCACAGAGGCAATCGCAAAGTTTCGTCCCACAGCTCGATTGAGGGCTTGCTGAGGTAGCTCATCCTTGGCTTTCTTTTCAGCTTCGAGATCAGAAACTGATCTTTACACCCCCATAAAGATAGGGTTCACTTAAGGCTGGTATACTGGTGAATTTGATGGGTTGAGGAAGTTTCCACGGGGGTTTCGAGTCCGACGGTAAATGTACTACTACTACTACGACGACGACGACGACTAGTCATAATAGTCGTCGTCGTAGCCGTCGGAGTCGTAGTCGCAGCAGCAAGAGGAGCAGGAAGAGGTGGAGCGGTAGTGGAAGAAGCAATGCTAATAGTCCCTAAGGGTCCATGTACCTACATAGTATATACATTGGCCTTAAAGTAGTCCCTATTTAGGTACAGTGGGGGCAATGTATATACTATTATTTGGGTACATGGACCCTCTGGGAGTGTTAGCAATAGGAGTAGGGGAAGGTGTAGAAGCAGGAGTGGAAACAGGAGTCGGCGTGGCAGGAGTGGGAGTAGGAGTAGTATATAGTCGTCGACGTAGCAGTGGTAATGGTTGCTTCGCAGTAACTTAGTAGTAGTACGATTGATGATAGAAATCCTGCATGACCCATAATAAGAAATATGGTATAATTCCCATAATCTAGGGTCATTAACGTAATGCAGGATTTATATCATCAGCCGTAGTAGTAGCATTTCGGCGCAGGAGTCGGGCTGGGAGTACATAGCAGCACGAAGGAGGAGCAGCAGCAATGGCCTGAGAACAGGACCTCTTTGTGTGAATTCGTGTTTATAGTTTCAAGGTTCAATGTTTAAGAACCTTGGGATTTGGGTGTCGGGAGTTTAGGGTTGAGGGTTTGAGGATTAATACGGGACTTTACGATCTTGGTGGGTAGGAATCAGGTATTTGACGACGAATCAAGCTACAGTGTGCCGTCCGAGCTTCACTTCCAAAGCTGATCGGTTGGAGACGCCAGTACCATCGAAGATGGTGTCCATTTGGCCTGATCGGCTCCCAATTGCAGAGTTCAAGTTGCATGCCTGTGCTCCTTCTCTAGCATAGGCCATACAACCACTGCATTATGTTCAACATAGGCCCAAAGTACGCTACCTCTTTAAGGACTTGTGTAAGAACATCATAATGAGGAGCCCTGAAATCATACTATAAGGGCCTTAAGAATTAGAGTAGGGTTTTGGGCCCCTTATACGAAAAAACACAACAAGGAAATCCCAAAACAGCATAGGTAACTATTCAGGCCCCTATCGTAGGCCGCCTAAACGTTTTCACAGGCAAAAGGGGCGGCTTCTTTCCATGGTTTAGGGTTTAGGCTATAGACTATGCTGGCCAGCGGGCTTGCAGGGCTGCGGCTTTGAGACGCCTCTGAAAATGTGAGAACCAAGGCACCACTGTAGGGAAATGGTGCAGCGTCGCTAGGCTCCCCTCCCCATCACCCGACGGTATCACCCTTCCTGCCCCTCGCTTGTGGTGCCCTGTGGTGTGGTTGCGGTTTTGTCCTCCGCAAGGTCCCCTGCGGCTCAACTTGTCCTCCTCCTCTATCGCCTCGTCATCGTCGTCGCCATCGTCATCATCATAATCATCATCGTGATAATCATCACCATCGTCATGCTCAGCAGTCTCCTCCTCCGCATCATCATCGTCTTCATCATCATCAACATCAACATCATCCTCATCCTCATCCATCATCATGATCGTCGCCATCGTCATCATCGTCGTCGTTATCATCATCACAATAATCATCACCACCGTCACCATCATCATAACCAGCTGTGCGATTACTATCCGCTTGCCCTGTTAATCTTAATCGTGTTCGTACTTCGCATTCTTGCCAACACCTACAGCTGATTGTACTGCGAATCCGTATTTCGTCTTCGTTGCTAGAATCTGCTAGAAATAGTGCAGGGTGATTTGGGACATACCAAACGGTGAAGAAGGAGCCTACTATCTGAGAATGAAGCTTGTTCATTCGGTCGCTTTCAAGGGCCCTACACTACACACTAAACCCTAGACCCTGACCCTGCAATCCCCGAAACAGCTTTTAAACCCGAAGCCCTAATCCCTAAACACCAAGCTAACAGGCAAACCCTTGCTCGCAAACCCGAAACCCCTCGGCCGGGTCACTCGCAAGGAGTTCCCTCAGCGGCACCCATCGGGACCACAAGTAATTCAAATCTTTTTCCTGGGCAGGAGCTCTCCCGGTTCTCTCAAAGTTTAGGGTTTACGGCCTGCCTTTTTTTAGGGTTCAGGGTGTAGGGATTGGTTTTGCCCGGGGCTTCACGGGTCTTAAAGGGCTCATCAATGATTGGGATTCAGGTAGCAGGGTGGAGTTTGAGGAAGGGCTTTATGACTCTATGTAAACTAACCTTTTAACAGCCAAGTGATAATGATGCGGGGTGCCAATACCCAAACTCTAGACCCCAAGCTCGAAACCCCAAGAACAAAACGCACAAACACACCCCAACCTATAAACAAAAACGAAAGGGACGATCGATATGTATCGAACGCCAGTTAAGTTCTGGGTCAACCACTTTCTGCGGTAAGCTTGGATTTTACAGGTAGGGTTGTGTGTTGACAGACTTCGTTTTGAAGTTTTTGGTTGCATCCGCAAACATGTAGCATTCGGAAAAGCAATGTTGCCTCAGCCCTAAGCCCTGAACCCAAAACCCAAAACCCTGAACCCTAACCCCCGAATCCTAAACCCTGTTCTCCGGGCTCCTCTAGCCAAGGTGCGATGTACTCGTTGTACGCTGCAACAATCTTCTCACTCGCATTCCCAAATCTGAGATCAAGCATGTTCTGGTGGTACCTCAGTTGCGTGGAGCCTAGGTTTAGGGCCATTCCGGGTTTAGGGTTGCAGGGCGTAGGGTTAGGATTACGCGAATATGGGCTCATGATACCCAGTATTGGCTCGTAGAGACCTGATTAAGCAACCCCTGGTCCTACAAGGCCCAAAATAACAGGATCCGCATAAAGAGCCCTGAGAAAGACGAAAGGTCTCCTTATCAGGATCCTGTATTAGACTTCACGTGGTAGGGTCTAGGGTTAAAGATGTCTTGACATGTACCCTAAACGTCCAAGAGCCGACAGAGTAGCTTCTTGGACTCTAAGTAGATATCTGGACCCTAAAGGGTATACTATGCTGGTACTTGGACCCTTTGGGCTATGGATGGTACTTGCTTTCGCATCTTGGGGGTGCAGGGCATCCTGCATGTGCGGTTCATGCAGCTGGAATCAACCCTTGGGGTCCATGGGCCTGTAGCTCTAAACTGCTGTTTGGGTTTAGGGCTCGGCGTTTAGCCGTTTAGGTTTTCGGGTGGAACGGATGTTTTCTTGGGCTGCTGGAAAAGGGTGTTTGCTCTCACTTTCAGAAATCCATTGCCACCTTTTATAAGTCCCTCGAAAGTTCTGAAACCTTGTAGTAACCGCTGCAAGACCGTTAGACGTAGGGGATGGATTTCGCCTTAGCTTAAGAGGGCTTGGGATCGAGGATTTAAGCTTTTGCGAGATACCTCTGCTACGTCTGATTCAAACCCCATGCCCCCTAAGCCCTACAATCTGTTAACCCAAAACCCTGAACCCTAAACTCGTCTGAGACCTAGCCGACCTAGCCTCCACAAACCCCTACACCTGAATTCCCAGACCCCGGACCCAAAACCCTAGACCCTAAACCCCTTAAACGAATCCTTGAAGGACTCCCCAACACCCTTAAAGGAACCCTTTAAAGGGGGGCTATGCCGAGGCAAGAGCAACACCAGGGCGGAGCAAGCGGCGTGTTCATGCTGCTAACCAACTTTTGCCTTGGTTGCACGAGAAGCCCCCCAAACTCCAAGTAGCTATGTAGAGTTCAGGGTTTAGTGTAAGGTTCAGGGTTTAGTTTGGGGTTTGGGGTTTAGGGGTGTAGGGTTTGTGTATACCTAAGCCTCAAAGTACAGACAGCTACTTAAAGGATCATGGGACTTAGTAAGTAAGGTTGTAAGTACCTTTAAGTAGTTATAAGTATAGTTACCTTATTTATAACCCTAGTTACTAGTCCCATGATCCTCTAAGTACCCCAAAAACCCTTATAGAACACTTAATAGTAACCTTTATAGATCCCTTAATAGGAGCCCCTTTAAAGGGGCCCTAGCCCTAGTTACTAAGTCCCATGATCCTCTAAGTACGGGGGCACCTGGGAGGACATGCCAGAAGACCCCCAGGCTTCCACCGAGGGCTTAAGGGGTTTTTTAAAAGGGAGGTTTCCGAAAATGGGGTACCCTGATATAGTACCCCAAAAAGTAGGATCCTTATGATAAGGACCACAAAACAAGGTACCCCTAATTTTCGGAAACTCCCAAGTGGAGGGAGGATGGATGGGTTGTGGAGCCTTTGATAGGGCTTTGAGGGTGGGACTTTGGGTTTGTTCTAGTGTTCCAGATCTCCCTGTGCGCCCTTTTTGCCACTATCCCCAAACCCTAAACCCTAAACCCTAAACCCTGACATTCCTACCGAATCCACTGCCAGCCGTCGCTCTCTGGCTCCTGGTGGCCTTGGGAGATGCTTCCAAGGATGGGCACTGTGGCAGTACCCTGGGGCTCCGAATAGGGTTTAGGGTTTAGGGCAAAGTAGGCACTATTTGTAGACTCTAGAGCCCAAGACAGGTACTATTTGTCTACTTGGAGCCCTAGGGGTAGGATAGTATGCTTGCGTAGGTTTCCAGCTCGCGGGTGGCGCCGCCATCTTAGGTTCGCTGTCGGCAGTCCCAATAAGGATTGAGACTGGAGCGTCTTGGAAATTGTTCGTTTTGCACGGCACCCTTGCCATGCGGCTGTCCAGCTTTGCAGTGGCGACGTACTCGGTATGCCCAAGTATGAGGGAGAATTGCTTGCCTTCTTGAAGCCCCCCATCCTCGAAAAAAGGTGCAAAAGCATCCAGAAACAATTCCCAACTCCCTTCGTAGCATGGCCCGCCACAAACAGATCGCTGCTCGACCCGGGAACGGCAATCACCTCCGATCGCTAACTACCATGAGGCTCCACATATCCCAAAGTAGGACTATTCATAGGATGAATGTTGTTTGTATACTTGGAGTCCTAGGGTTGGGGTCCTGAACCCGCTGTCATCGCCATAAGTTTATGTGCATTCAGCCTAGCCCCTCATCAACAGTCTTGTGGATTACCCCAAACCCCTAATCCCTAATCTCTAAACCCTCAACGCTATACCCCAAGCCCCCCCCTTGACTCCCAGTCTAAAAGACGATAGCCTACGCCCCCTCCCCCCCATGCTCTCTGTACTACTTGGGGTCCTGGGGAAGCAAAAACCCCGAAACCCAATGAGCTCCTCTTACTAGTCTTGTGTTTCGTCTTGATGAGTTCTTATGTTTTGTTATATACGAATAAGTAATACTATGCTGTTATGGTGCTGTGAGAATTATTCGTCTATGAACAAAGCACTACTGTCTTATGCTGTCAGAATACCATACGATCATACTGGTGTTTCTGTTACAGAACAGTGTATCTATTGCAAAGCGATATTGCAATGTGATTGCTATGTTTTCTGTGTACAGTAGCATAATTCTCTACTCTTCTAACTCTAGGTTCAGCACTAGCCCCCAGCAATCAGAGTACTTGTTTTCCTAGTATTCGGTATTAATGACCGTGGGGCTCCTAATAGCCCAAGGTGGGCACTATTTGCAGACTTTCGACCCCAACGTACGTACTACTTGTATACTTGGAGCCCTAGGGTAAGGAGACCCCAACATGTAAAAGGGCAACAGGGTACTACTCAACCCTAAACCCTAAACCCTGGGGGAACCCAAAACTTCAGACCCGCCCTCGGACCGAGTGTGCGGCCTGTTCTCCTCCGGCTTGCAATTCGCGGCGACGAGGAGAAACTCTTTTTGCATCTCCTGAGGGCTTGAGGGGTTAGGGTCGAGGGCTTTAGGGTTCAGGATGTAGGTGTGGGGCTTAGGGTCGAGGGCTTTAGGGTTCAGGATGTAGGTGTGGGGCTTAGGGTCGAGGGCTTTAGGGTTCAGGATGTAGGTGTGGGGCTTAGGGTCGAGGGCTTTAGGGTTCAGGATGGAGGTGTAGGGCTTAGGGTCGAGGGGTTTAGGGTTCAGGATGGAGGTGTAGGGTTTAGGGTTTGCATCTCGTGCGATGATACTCTGAGTCCCAGGTGTCGAACCCCAAGCTCCAAGATCCAAGATCAATGATACGGTTGATGATATAAATCCTGCATGACCCATAATAGGGAATATACTATAATTTCCTTAGTTTGGGGTCATTAAGGTAATGCAGGATTTCTATCATCAACCGTACTCTTATAAATATCCAGTATCGAAGCTCAAGCTCTATGCTCTAAGATCGACGATCCAAACCCGAAAGATGGGAGTTTCCGAAAATCGGGGACCCTAGTATAGTACTCTAACTAGTATTATCCGTATTATAAAGACCCCAAATAATAAGGTACCCCCCTTTTCGGAAACTCCCAAATCGAAAACCCGAACCCGAAACCGGAGGAAAACGGACCCTTTCATCGAGGCCTGATCCCCAGCTGTAGGCTATACGAGGGGGTTTCCGAAAATAGGGCTCCTTTTAAAGGGTTCCTTAAAGGGATTTATAAGGGCTCTATACTTCTATAAAGGGTTTAGGGTTCAGGACTCTATCTGGGGGTTTCCGAAAACAAAAGACCCTAATATAGTACCCTAAATAGCAGGATCCATGCTTTAAGGATGCCAAAATACGGTACCCCTAATCTTCGGAAACTCCCATATCCTACTCGGAGGATCATGGGACTTAGTAAGGCCTAGGGTTCCTTAAAGGGCTCCTTTAAGGGGTCTATAAGGGTGACTAGAAGGATGCTACAAGGGCTTTGGGGATACTTAGCGGATCATGGGACTTGGTAAGTAAGGCTATAAGTACCTCGGTAGGGATCATAAGCCGCTATACGTATAGTTACTTTACTCATAACCCTACGTACTAAGTCCCATGATCATCTAAGTAGGTCAACCTAGAGCTTGGTGAAGAGATTCCAGGAAAAAGGCCTGAAGTCTTTTCAGAGCACGACCGAACACCCCAGCCTACACCCTGAAAGGCTTGGGGCTTAGGGTTTAGGGTTAAGGGGCTTAGGGTTTCCGTAATCCAGCAAGCATCCCAACACCCCCCCCCTGTGGACGAGGTTCAGTGGTTAAGGTGTACGGGGTTAGTACCCCTTATCCATTAATTCAAGAATATTTCGTAAATCACTTTGATCATCATACTCTAATTTAAGGTATATTCCATAATTCAGGCATATTGGAGTCTCTGGGTCTCTGGGTAGACCACGGATTAATGGCACCCCTCCCACAATGCGGATCATAATCCTAAGGGCTGAGTACCCTATCCCAAACAAAGGTTAACCTTTTCTGTTCGTGGGAGTATATAAACCCCAAAAAGGTTGAAAGTTACCTACCCAGCTACGAGGTAATTCATGCTACGGAACTTGCGGGAAAGAGGGCCCGAAGCCTACACAGGGTTCGAAGTAAGACCAAGCGGAACCGCCCAGCTTTTGATCAGCGGCCTCCCCAAAGCAGACCTTACAGAAAAGAGGGCCCGAACCCTAAACACGGTTCGAAGTAAGGCCAAGCAGAACCGCCTAACTTTTGATCAGCGGCCTCCCCAAAGCTTATCCGTCCGAAACCCTGAAACCCCAAACCCCTAAAACTCCTGCAAGCCTGAACACCCTCAATAACCCGGAAAGCCTTAAAGCCCTTAAACCCAAAAGCTCTAAGTGCAACAAGTCTACTTCACCTAGGTTTTACGGCTGCAGAGCGCGGGTGTCCAGGGTTTACGGTTGGGAAAGAACCCTCAAGCACTGCAACATCGTAAAGCATGGAAGACTATGAGGCTCAAAAATACGAACAAGTATGATAAGGGTCAGGGTGTATAGGGTTTGGAGTTTCAAACCCTAAAGCCCCAAGCCCGAAGCCTTTAGAAGCTTAAAGCCAACGTCCTATCGCCTAAAACAGCCACCTACCTCCACCCCAGCTCTCCTGGGTGTACATCCGCTGTATACCAGCCACCTTCAAAGGCTCAAAGATAGTCTAGCGATTTCGGTTTGTTGCCAAAACTACTGAAGCTGTCTAAGGACCCGTACATACTTGTAGATGAGGCGCGAAAATAAGGTTTGGGGATTGTCTTCAAATGTGATGGGCTGGGGGGTGATGGTCTGCCTGCAAAGGTTCGTCAAGCATACTTGGGGATCAAAAGTGTATAGGGGAGTCTCCGAAAATTGCGGGGGTGCCTTGTTTTGGGCTCCTTATAATGAGGATCCTACTATTTAGGGTACTATATTTGGGTCCCCTATTTTCGGAAACTCCCATAGGGGTCAGGCCTTAATTAAGTAATAAGGCTTCGGGAGATCAGGCTTCTCAGGAGGACGGACATGCTGTTGATTATGGACAACACGCCTGCATCAATCGCGAGTCAAGAATATGTAAACACAACAGGTAGTTTACTACCTTAGCCCTGAAGATCTGAAATCCTTGAAGCGTAGTTTGCTGTACGATTCAGGAATATCCGAAGCAGTGAGTGGTCCCAAACGCAAAATGCTGGCGGCTTGTGCGATTTCGGCTGCACACCCCCGAAGGCAAGCCAAGGACAAAATCATCCGCCCTCCTTCAACTCTGAACCCTGCATCCTCCGTAAGAACGCTCTTTAGCATCCATCGAAAGACCCCGCAGAGCCCAATCCATGACCGTAACATAAGGGTCGGAAGAACCAGTAACATTATTCCCGAACAATTCCTTGCTGATAAGCACATCTGTTGATACCCTGGGCCCTAACGAAATACTTGAAGCCACTATAGTTGACCTTTCCTAACCTCTGAATCCTAAATCCCTAAACCCCACAAAAAGAACCTATTAACCTTACCTAAGCCCTGAACCCTAAGGCCCTACACCTCTGATATCGAACCAAAACCACAGGGCCTCAATGGTGTGTATCCATTCCTCATACGTCCCCGCAGTCGCTTGGGGCAAAACGTGCACCCAAAGGCCAACCTGGTATTAGGGATGATTTACCTACTTGTCGGGTATCATGGGGAACTCAAGGTTAACGTTTTTGGTTATAGAGGGATTATATAGGGACTGTACGACCCAAAAAAGGTTAAAGGTTACCTACTCTACTACAAGGTTTATTCTGACCCTCAGCCTCATCGTAAACCTACAAGTCCTTAAAGCTTAGTTGTATAGCTTAGGTATTAGACCCTCAACCCTAAACCACAACGCCGTAAGAGAGGGTATAGAGATTATAGCCTTCACCTGACAAGGCTTAGAGTTTAGGGGAGATCTGTTGCCTGTCTGCGTGCTTTCAGTGTACCTCCGCAAAAACCCTTCCTCAAGGACATACACCTTATATAAATTCTACCACTACCAAGACCCTCATTCAATCCGCCACAAAAAAAGCTGTTAGAGTCTCTGGCGAGACTGAGATGCTTTTGGGGTGACCTAAACATGTGCAAAGGCTACATGGTGTAGGGTTCCTTCTCATGGGGTCCCCATACAATTTCTCAAATAAAGGTATGTCCTTTGGCTTAGGGGCTGAGTACGGTTAAGGGTTACCCCTATAGAACCCTTATGATAGTACCCTTAGAGATCCCTTAAAGGAGCCCCGTTGTAGTAGGTTACCCCTACAGAACCCTTCTAATAGTACCCTTAGAGATCCCCTAAAGAAACCCCTCTATAGTAGGGTACCCCTACAGAACCCTTATCATAGTACCCTTAGAGATCCCCTAAAGAAACTCCTTTATAGTAACCTCGACCCTAAAGGTCAGCCCTTGAGCTGGGGTTAGATCACGAAACTTCCCGCTCCATTGACTCCTAGCCTGGGACATGGACCCAAAGATCCAAGTTTTGGGGTTAGGGTCTAGGGCTTAGGGTTTAAGATTTAAGATTAGGGTTTAGGGTTTAGGTTAGGATTTCGGTTTGAGCGTTTAGGGTTTTGGTAAGAGTTTGAAAAGGTCTCACAAGGGCTGCAGCGTTGCATTCTAAGGGCAAACCCCCAATAGTGCTTATGAACAGATACCTTTAATTGATTACAGTCGCAAAAAAAAGGAAATGACATGGGTTCGAGAGTGCCACCACGCAAAACCCCAAACTCACACCCAAGTAACAAGCTTTGAGTGTTTATCGCCAGTAGCTGCGCATGGTACGCTCGCTCTGTGTGTGTGTGTGTGCGTGTTTGTGTGTGTGGGTGTTCAGAGTCCAGACTTTCCTTCTCTATATGTTTAACGTATCCATCCACCTATCTATTCTACTTATCTCTAGGTTAAACCTATCCATCTACCTGGCTATCTACTTATCTATAGCTTTAACCTATCCATCTGCCTGTCTACATACTAATCTATGAGTTTAGCCTATCCATCTACCCATCTACCTCTCTAGAGATTTGGGAGTTTCCGAAAATTAGGGTACCGTATTTGGGGATCCTTATAATAGGGATCCTATTATTTAGGGTACTATGTTCGGGTCCCCTATTCTCGGAAACTCCCATCTGACCTGCGTAGGTTTCAGGTTCCGGTGCATCCCAGCCCGGGAGGCTTGGGGACCTTTGTGCCCTTTGAGTTTCATTAGGGGGTTTAGGGTTTAGGGGTTTAGGGTTCAGTGTTTAGGGGTTTAGGCGTTCAGGGGTTTACCTGCCTTTGGTTAGTCGGGAATGGAGGAATGGGGTACAATTATAACTACTATTCCTACCAGGTCCTACCATTCTTCCATTCCCTACCAACCAAAGGTAGGTCTAGGGTCGGTTGTATGGCTTGGGAAAAGGCTTCATGCCGTTCGGGATGACTCTCCAAAAGACGCACACTGCCAGTAGGCGATGAAGCCCTGAACCCCCACGTTCGTAAACCCTGGAGGCTGTGGGGCTTTGGGTTTAAAGGATCTATAACTCCCAAATTCGAACAATGTACGCATGTTGTGCACAAGTCTAAAGACAGACACCTGCTTCGCAGTTAAATGGTGTAGGAAGGCCTTACCATCGTTCCCCCAAAAGAACATCCTTTCGCATGCCAAAGTGCAACGGCCAGGAGAACGGACGTGGTGCCCATGCCCCCTCTCATGCTGTCCCTCTGGCTCTGTGCGGGAAGAAAACCCACTCAAAACCCAACACTCTAGCACGCTGAAGCCTTAAAGCCAACCCTAAACCCTAAACCTTCTTCGACTGTTTGTAGTTCTGAAAGCTGGTGGAATCGACGGCCAAAGGACTGTGACTGAGCCCCCCCTTTCGGGGAGCCTTTGAGAAATGACCGTCGGTTCAAATGCGCTGCTCTTCGATACGACATGGGCTAGATACCCATAGCATATTTAAGCTAAGCCCCCTATCTTTTAGGGAGTGAAAGTTGCTTCGGGCTCGGAGGTGCCGAGCCTTACGAGAGCCCCAAAAATTCTAAACCCTAAACCCCTTAACCTTGCCCCAAAATCGGGTGGAGAGCAGTACTGTTGTCTTTGTGGGGCTTCCACCACTCGAAGGATCGAACGACTGAGTAAGTAAGCTATAAGTATAGGTATAGGGCTGTATGTTAACATAAAACCCAGGTAGGGGACTTGCAGCCCTATCTTTTGAAAACTGCTTACAAAGTCTCGTGATACTTCAAGCAGGCATTGGAGCGATTGTTGGGTGTTGGGGTAAAGAATCAAAGCTTTCGAAGTCCTAGGTAGGATGCGCAGGCTGGTGTGCTGTACTGCATAAGGGCTCGAATTCCATATCATCGTAGCATCTGGTCTGCGAAATTCATCGATTTAGGATTTAGGGTCAAGTTTAGGGCTCACAGCTCAAAATGTACTAACAGGATCATGGGACTCAGCAAGCAAGGTTGCAACTACCCTCAGTGGGGGTTAAAAGAGATTATAAGCATAACTATCGTATGCATGACCCCAGTTACTAAGTCCCATGATTCTAAGTAGCCCGAACTGCCTCTGGTTTGGGGTTTACCTTAGAGTAACCCAGGTACCATATACCTTACCTTTGGTTAGTAGGGAATGGAGGAATGGGGTACAATGCTCAGCGCTCACTACCCTACGCCCTAAACATCGCTGTTCCATAACGGCTTAGGGTTTAGGGTTTGTGGTTTAGGTTTAGGGAAATCTTCACCTGCTCCCTGTCTCAATAAGGGCTTAGCAAGGCCTGAATCGAATGCAACAGTGGCTGAACTAGCATGGATTGGCTGAGGGCTTGGCGAAGATTTGGGGGCTCCTCGAAGCTAGGAGGAGCTCAACATTATACCGTCCGTACCAAGACCCTACCCTCACTAATTTAAGGGTGGGTTTAAAGAACCCTACGTACCTGTATATAAAAGAGCCCTACGTACCTTTTTCAAAAAAACTATGTAACGAAACCATTATCTGGAGCCCCATACTGCAAACGACTTTACTCATGATCTCAAACTTCACCTCTAAGTGCAGGCATGGTCTCTTTTCGAACTAAGCGTCCATTTAGGATGTCCGTGATGTTGAGTCGTATTTTACCGAGTCAGTGCGTAGATTTTTCTTAACGTGTCACGTGCTAAAGCTCCATTTCCAGCTCAGAACTATCCCAGATGAGCTGCTGTCAGCATTGTAAGCGCAAATGCATGGAGTTCCCTAAAGCTCCAGGTGCCTCCTCTACACTTCCTTCTATCCCAGATACCGGCGCCTTATTCAAAAGACGTGGTCTGAGGCACCGGCGCGATGGCCCACGATAAGCCTCAGTTCCCAACAAGCTGGCTTCGTGCGTTTGGCCTCAAGGCCTTGACACCCGAATAATAAACGCCACGGCCCCTCTGCTGAACCTGCATACTCACCCTGGAACCCCTTTCCTTTTTGAGGGTTTACTAAGGAGAGTAACATGAGAGTAACCAAGGTACACGCGAAAAAGGCAAATCTACCTAATGTTTACGGTCATGACCTTTCCTACAGTTATATTGGTTACTCTTAGGTAAGGCTTACGAAGGGCTTAACAACAATTGAAGGTAACCCAAATCCCTAAAGCCAGGGCAACATTACGGCCCCTATACTGCACCGTTATAGTAACCCTTAGCGACCCCCTGTGCTGGAACCCTTTGTTAGGGTGTGGAGTTGTTCGGAAACCCATAGATCTCTTTAGGATCCCTTAGACGAGCCCTAGATCCATTAAAGGTAACCCTCATCTCTAAAGCCAGGGCGCTGCTGGTCGCAGTCGGGGGGACCTCCAGCATCGGCGATGGCCACCTGTGCGGCGGTATTTTGGGGCTTAGGGCATATAGGGTTTAGATATTATTGGGGTTAGGGCTGATTATAGTGTTTAAGGATGAAGGTTTAGGGCTTAGGGTTTGGGGCTGAGCGGTGGGTTTACCTGCTTAAAGACGACGGAATAGAAAGTTGAACAGCTCGTTCGGGGGTTGGATTCGTTTCATGGTACAGTTCCTGCTCTGCTAATCACAAGTATAGGGTCAATAATTATCAGAATTTTTGGGCCTGTTGTAGAACATCTGTGCTGCCGCTACTGCTACTGCACAACCCAAACCCTAAACCATGATGCATCAAGTCCCAAGCAGTGAATTCAACGCCGAATGCAAACCCACAACCGCAAAACAGATATACATACACACACAAACAAACAAACATAGAAACACACAAACACACAGACACACACGAAAATCCACGGTGGGGAAGCCGGGAACATCACCGCTGAAACGCGTACAAACTCGATGAACCTCGAACCAAGCGGCCATTAAGCCCCAGCTATAGCCCCAAGCACGACGAAACAGGAGGTAATGTTCTCACGATTAAAGGGCTTAAAACTGTCGACTTTAAACCTATCAAGCCTATAGTCTCCACCGTAAGTCCCTTTTTATGTCCTTTTGTGGTTAACCAACTTCATATTCTAGGATGCTGGCAAACCACAAGCAGGAACTACAACGAGAGTCTGAAAGTCGGTGTTGAGCAGACCCTGAACCCCTATATAGGTCCCAACAGATCCCGTATAGAACCAGAACCCTAGGTGTTGTAGATGAAAAACGAAAGATCCGAAAGATCGGAGTCTCCGTTTCCGACCAAGCCCAGAGCCTGAACAGAAAGCCCTGGGCTCTGTGGGGGTAAGGTTTATAAATTTATAGCATTTAAGGCTATAGGGGCGTGCGAGTAAAAGGTCTCGGGTTTAAGGATTTAGGGTTTGGGGTTTAGGGGTGAGCCGTTTGTGTGGTTTAAGGAGCAGGGGCTCAAGGTTTAGGATCTTGGGTTTAGTGCCTTAGTGTTTCGCGCTATTTAAGACCCTGATCAACCCTATACGACCCTACTAAACTGAAACAATTCATACGGAACCCCATGAACCGCCGTAGAACCATCCCACACCCTCACAGAAACTCCCCACTCAAAGAATGAAAACAAAAAGCACACACACGCAACCCTGAACCCTAGGCCCCAACCCCGAAATCCCTAAACCCAAAACCACATAAACCCCTAAACCCCTAACACCCTACGCCTTAAACACTAAAGCGTACCCGCCTTTAGCGCTGCAACGGGCCGTGCGGATGCCACCTGCACCTGCCGGCAACGGGTTAGGGTTTGGGGTTTTGTTTTGGGCATCCTCTGCTCCTTCTGGAAAGCCTTGGAGGACAGGTGAACCCATCACACTTCCTTACAGGTTTCCCAATCCCCTCCCCTGATTCGGCTGCCCATCTTCGACTCCCCGTGACGGTCCCCGTGCTTGCAAGACCGTTGAAGGCCCTGTGCTCGTCCCATCTTCAACCATCTTCTGATGCTGTTTCTGGGGCTGTTTCTGGGCACGCCGCTATTTCCATGGCTACTGCATGGGCAGATGCGGCAAGGAAATCTGTGCTGAAGCCTGAATTGCCGGAGATCTTCGCCTTCGCTACATTCCTACATCCGCAAGCAGAAGAGCCAACTGTGCCTCCGTGGCAGTATGGGGCACTGCACTCTGGCTGGCCTGGAATTTCCTCACTGGACCGGATCTCCGACTTGAACATGGTGTTGAGGACGCGGAGATGAAGACCGAGCTGGTCAGCGTTTTTCGAGACCACCGCCCAATTCCTCCACATTGACGATGAAGTTGTCCAAGGTGCCAGCGAGCTCCGCGAAGCCAACCTCGGGTCGACCGCACAATTCCGTCCGTTCCGCCGTAAAATCTTGACCGAAACTGCAGAAGCTGTTGACCTTCGCGATGGCACCTCGGCTCAGCGCTCCCTTCTTGACATCCCTAGTGCCGTCTTGCAGGCGAGTGGGCGCATCCGCGTATTGCTTGATCTAGCGGTTGCGGATCCGGTGCCAGGTCGAGATGCACTGGACTTGTTCTTGCCAGAATACATCTCGGGAAATGCTTGGAAACAGACCCTACTTCTAACGCACAGCTCAAAGAGGTGGTCGTTGAGCCATAAGTGTTTTTTGTTGGACTCCTCAGACGCGTTTCGGGAACAACGCCACCTACAGTCTTCCTTCATGTAAACTGCATGCTACAATCTTCATTCCTTCCTGTAAACTGCACGCACTGTCTGCACCGGCAGGTTTCCCGAGAACTCGCCAGTGACCTCGCCGCATCTCGGTAACCGATTAGCCGGTCACAGGGTTAGCCCTCGCACCTCCGCCAGCGAACTTAAACGAGGTTTCCAGGAAGCGCCCGCGAGGAGGACATGCGGCAAGGGTTTTTTGCTTCCCGTCCACGTCATAGACCTTAGATAGCCTTAGATTCCGAAAGGGGGGGAGGGGGGGGGCCGGGTTGGGAGGAGCAGCCACACGACTGAGGGTCGAGGGTATTTAGCGTCTCGAGTTTAGGCAGGATCGGGACCTCAAGACTCCAAAACCCAAATGCTGCAGCTGAAGGGGTTCAGGGGTTAGTCTATAGACTTTAGGGCAAGTTTATGGCTTGAGGTTTAGGGTTTGGGGTTTAGGGTTTAAGGTTGGGGTTCACTGTTTAGGGCCAGTTTAGGGTGTAGGCATAACTGCAAAGACCAGCCAAGGAATTGAATCTTAGGTAATGCCTAAGGGTCCATGTGCGTATACAGTATATCCTATATACTTTAGCCGTGGAGGGGTTCCTACATATGCCACAGCGTGTAGATAGGGGTACATGACTAGGATACCCGAAGCT